GCAGTTCCACTCTGTCCTCTAGGGGCGCTGTGGGTGGAATGGACTCCAGGCAGTGGGTGTGGTTTGGGCTTTGCTTCTGTGAAGATTGACAGCCTTGGAGACCCTGTGGGCAGTTCTACTCTGTGTTCTAGGGGCCTGGTGAGTTGGCATGAACTAGATGGCAGGGAGATGCCAAACGGAGTAACAGGCTCTGGCCAGCTCAATGAGCAAATGATGGGCTCTGAGGAGTGGGAACCTAGAGGGTCCACTGGCAAAGAGGGAGCTAAAGCTGGAAGCTGGGGTCCGGGTCACCAGGGCGGCCCTTCAGTCCCGGCAGCATTCTCCAAGAAGTGCCCTATGGACCCCAGGACAGGGGGTGTACGTGGGAAATAACTTGGTAAACTTAGTTTTAAATAAGGTCACAATGGAAACTGAGTAAGTGTCACATTGAATAAAAACCCAGCACTGATTCTTCAGTATTTTAAAATCTAGTTCCAGGGAGCTCACTGGGCTCAGCTCCTGGTCTGCAGCAGACCGCAGTCCCGTTCTCCCCGACTTTCACCTGCGCATGCCAGGCTCTGCACCACCGGCTCACCTGTGCTAGGCACCCAACTGTGTCCCCCAAAAGATGGCGCAGGCCCCACGCCCTGTTCCTGTGGACGTGACCTTGCATGGAAATTGGGTCGTTCTTAGAAGAGGTTATCAGCCAGCAGGCACTGCCAGAGCAGGGTGAGTCTAATCCACCGTGAGTGGTGTTCTCACAAAAGAGAAGGGCAGCCAGGGAGACAGACACGGGACAGAGAGGCACCAGGTAAGGACACATGGACAGGCAGCAAAGCATTGCCAAGGGGCCTGGGAGCCCCAGAAACTAAGAGCCCACCAAGGGACACCCTGGTGGGGGACCCCCAGCCCTCAGAACTGTGAGACAAGGCTTTCTGTTCTTTGCACACCTCCTGGGTACTTTGGGGGCTCTGGTGGCGTAGTGCCTAAGGCATTTGACTGCTAACCAGAAGGCTGGTGGTTCACACCCACCAGCCACTCCTCGGAAGGAAGACTAGGTAATCTACTTCCATAGTGATACCGTCTGGGAAACCCAAGGAAGGGTCTCTATGGGTCAGAAATGACTCCCCAGTAGTGAGTTTTGTTTTGTTTTGCTTTTTGGTTTGGGGTACTTAGGGCAGCGCCAGGGGATGCTGGGGTTCTCAGGGAGCGCCCCCTTCCACGCGGGGGGCGGGACCCCTGGCCAGACCTGGCGCAGAGCCACCGAGAGCGGCCACGCGGTGGGTCAGTGGCCCCAGCGCTGGAGTGCACCCGCGGCCCTCCCTGCCCCCCGCCTCCGGGGCAGGATGCACGGACTCCTGCGACCCGTGGGCTGAGCCCCCCACTCACCAGGAAGCCCGACGTGCTGTCCAGCAGGCAGCGCACGCGGCACACGAAGCAGCGGGTCAGGAAGGCCGCGAACTCGGCGGGCGGGCCGGCGCCCCCAGCCTGGGCCTGCAGCAACCTCCGCAAGATGGCGTCCTCCCGGGCCCCTGCGGCAGAGGGGAGGCCGTGAGGGCGGCCCGTACACACGGGGGCAGGGTGACAGGGGGCTGGGAGCGCGAGAGACGCGGCCCGGCGCCCGGAGCTCTTGCGTCCACCCGCCCGGCCGGAATCCCGTTCCCCGCGTGTGTGGGCGTCTGAGGCGTGGTGTGTAGCACGCTTGACTTTTACACTCAACTGTTTCTAAGGTAAATCGTGCTGCCGCCGGAGTTCTAGACACTTCCTTGACTTGGTTGAACTTCTCTGGGAATGTGTGGGGCTCATTTTCGCTTGGGGGCAGCTCTGCATTAAGGCTGGGGCCCAGGTAGGTTGCGTGGGGGTCGGGGGGCTGCGTGAGCGAGCCAGGGAGCAGTGTGGTCACTGGGCCTGCCCAGGAGACGCTGCCCTGAGGCCTCAGCGTCCAGACCCCC